CAGGTGAGGGTGGGGCTGGGAGTGGCTCCTAGAGGAAGGTGCCTGCTCCCACTTCTGCAGCCATGTTGTCCTAATGTCATTAAATGGTTATGGTGATGCTAAGTCTCAATTTAGTCAAGTTTCTCTCAATTATTCCAGCTTTGCCCTAGGATGTTCTGGGGAATTCGGTGGAAGGACCAAGAGAGTAGCCCTCCCCACTTCTCCTCCCCTGCAGAAGGGACTCAAAGTAGAAGCATAAAAGGTGGGACTCCAGCTCTCCAGGAGCAGACCTTGTGCATGCCAGGTGTGGAGGACCTGATCCCCTTTTTATCAAGGGGCTTCTCAACAACCACAGCCTGCTGTCTCCTGTCGGGCTCCAGGGAGCACACAGGGATATAGGGGAGGTCATTGGATAATGGAGATAGCCTCTGGGGATAAAGCCAAAAGGCCTACATAAGACTCACAACCATTAAGAAAATGCAGTCCCACATTCAGAGACAATGCAAAACTACATGTTCATTTACTGTTGCCTCCTGACAAAACACTTAATGAGGAATTGCATTCACAATGTGCAGCTAAACTTTGTATGACCCTTTACCCCCAACTTTTCTCTTCATCATTCCCTTCATCCACTCAGCCTTCCCAAGGCTCAGACATGGCTTCCTCCACTCAGGATCTCCTTTTCCTGCTTTCCTCATCTCTCCCAGGCAGGCTTCTGTCCCCAATCCCCAGAAACTTCTCTGTGTCCTTCTCACTGTTGATCCACCCAGACAGGACTTGTCCTCAGTCCCATACCACAGTCAATACATAACAGCTCAGGAGCCCACTGCCTTCTAAGGAGAAGAAACTGTAGCTGTTGTTAATTACAAATTATCCCCACAGTAAAGGATTCTCAGAGGAACAATCTCAAGGATTCCTGCAGGAGGCTGGAATGGAGGGACATGATGGCTAAGACACAGAGGCTTTGTGATGTACTTACTGCAGGTGGGTGTCCCCCCAAGAAGTGGGCAGTGGGAGAGAATACCAAACTGAGATGCAGCCCCCGCCCTTTGTGCTGACCACTGGGTACAGGCTCCTGGGCACACAGCTCTAGGTGGGTTGCTCAGGCTCTCAACCTTGGCTCCACACTGGACTCACACAGGCAGCTTTACGAAAACATTGATTTCCCATGTCCTCCACCCAGAAATTCTGATTTAATTGGTTTGGTGTGAAACTCAAGGCATCTAGGAGCACTGGTTATTTTGTTGTACAATTCATTTTTTATCAGTGCATTATAATTATCCATGATGGTGGGAGTCATTGTCACGTACTCATATGTGCACAAAACAATTTGGTCAGTTTTATCCCGAGTACCTCTTTTTCCCCTCTCTCCTCCCCCAGCCCCTTCCTCTACTCTATTGCTTTCCTTTCTATTTTCAGAACATTGGCTATTTTTAAAACTCCCCAGGTGATTCTAATGTGCATGCAGCTAGGGACAGATCCAACTTGGTTGCTAGATCAAATTGGTTGCTGGGGAGAGCACCCCAGAACCTGGGGGCTCCAGACCAAAGTCCCAGGCACAGCAACACCCCTCCAGGCCCCCTTTTGACCCATCAGGAGGAACAAGAGTTGGGATCAAGACTCTAGGTGGCATAGAATAACTTAACATAGCAGTTGAGTCTTCTTCATTTGTCATTTAATTATGTATTCAACAACTATCGAGTGTCACAAGACGAAGCCTGTCATGTGAAGCTGCCATAACAAGTGGACAGAATAGTGGGTGCAGAGGTCCTGCACAGGAAGCAAAGAGGACATGTGGCTGAGGCACAATGGATAGAGAAGCGAAAGGGGACGCCATCTGGGAGGTGGGCTGGCCAGGGCACATCATGGAAGGTCTGGGAGTAGGTGAGTGGTTTTCCTCCCCAGTACAATGGGAAACCCCTGGAAGGTTTTCAGAAGGAAAGGACATGACTCAGATGTGCTTTTTTAGGAGACACTTGGGCTGCAGTGGGAGGGTGGCTGGTGGGCAGCAGGACCGGCACAGGTGAATAGCACATGCCATCAGAGTCTCAGGCATACCTGTGATCATGGCCCATGAGAAGGACAGGGACTCCGCTCCTCTTGGTAGTAGGGAATGTAGGTCAAGGAGCCCAGCTCCCTCAGCTAAGCCACTAATCCAGCCCCCTTTCCTGTCAGGGAGGAAAAGCTGAGTCTGAGATGTGTGGGCTCAGCTGAGCTCTGCTTTGGCAGGGGAGACAGAGCTATTAATCACCTAGGTGCAAGAATCCTGGCCACTCCCTGGAGTTCCCTGGTCCCCCTTCCCAGGGTGCCCTCCTCATGATCTCCCCAGGCCAGCCCTGACATGCACAGGGAGCAGGCAGCTGTATTTTAAGATCAGGACTCAGACCTTTAAATAAAGCATAAACAAAGCTAGCTTCCCCCGTACAGAAGGAGGAAGACGGCTCCATTTCTCTTCAGCACAGTGACTGGGAAATAAACAAGTGGCTCTGCCTGTCACATACACTTAACCCTCTGCAAAGGCATCTGTCAGACCCAAAAGCTTCCACCTCAGCCTTTCCAAGAAATAGCTGATATGCCACAAACTTCTCCCCAAGTTCACTTTGATGTTTCAGGAAAGGTGCACAGGGAGGCTTGCTCCTGGCCCCAGCCTCACAGGAAAAGCTAACCAAAGGCAGCAGACACAGATGAGGAGCACCAGTGTAGCTCAGGGCATGGAAGGGGACAAGGGGGAGGAGTGAGTGAAAGGAAAGGTGGGAGGCAGAAGGAGGTTGGCAGGGGTGGGGGCTGGGAGCAGTGCTGGGAGGGCATGGAGCAGCCCCTAATAGAGATATAGGAGGGGTGAGAGCCCCAGTGGCCAGGTAGAGCCCCAGCAGCCTGGTGTGGGAGAGACAAAGAGAAGACAGAGAGGCCCTATCTATATATGGGCAAAGTCTCCCACAACCACAAAGGAAGAAGGAACAAGCAAGAACAAAAAACAGGCAGGAGCAGAAGGAACAGGCAGATAAATAAAGCAGGGGAGGAAGGAAAACCCCAGAGCCACCAAACCCAAGAGTTTGTAGGAGAGGGGACCTCAAAGAAGGTAAAGGTGATTTATCCATAGAATACAACCAGAAGAGTCAGAAGCTAAGGCCATAGGAGTTGGAGTGACTGGGAATAAAAGATGGCACTCAGCAAAAGCCACAGACATATGGCAGTGAAGCCAAGCTTTGGGGTGGCCCGAGGTAGAGGATGATGAAGGCTAGAGAGAGCAGCAGGGCTGCTAAGGTTGTCCCCTGGTGCTGCTAAAGGCACCTAAAGCAGGGAAACCTCGAGCCACTCTCCCCCAAGGTGTGGGAGGGGATTGAAAAGAGTGAAAGAAGCAGCAACCCAGTGATTACACATTCACCAAAACACGCACCCTCTGCAAAGGCTGGCACACTCTTAGCAGCACTCCTGTGGGGATGGAGCCCAGAGGCCTTTGGATTGCAGCCCAGCCAGGTGTCGGAGAGCACAAGTGTTAGATCGAGCAGACTTAGAGAATAAGGTGAAAATATGCCCAAACAGATTCTGATAGAAATAGACACAAAGACTCCAAATACCATCTCTCTCTCTCTCTCTCTCTCTCTCTCTCTCTCTCTAT